TCCCTCTGCTGTGCCCTGATGAGCTGGTTGCAGGGTTGAGAGGCAGCAATGGCAGGCCAGGTTCTTGAGCCAGACTCCGACTGCAGTTAGGCCAGAAGAAATTTAGGGTAATCACTGGAGTAAAAGAAATTGCATGGGTTTCAACAAGTGTAAGAAGAGATTTGTGATCCCAGCGTTGTGGCAAACAAGATAAAAGGAGTGAACATCCATGTGCTGATACTGGAGGTTCACACCAGAAACCATAATAGTCCTGAGCCCCAGAATCACAGTGGGAGAATATTATTTCTCTTTTTGTTCTAGGATAGGGCAGGAAACGGCTTTAAACAGGCTGTTATTAATGCAAAGTAGTTGCTGGGAGCTTAAGTGCTAGTGCAACCTGCAAAACAAAAATGGAAAATTATTTGCTTCCCTCTCCACACTGTCCTGTGGTCAGAAATTGAAGCCACCCAGTATGCAGGGACTGATCTGACAGGAGACACCAGCTACCCCCACAGCCAGCACGGCACTGGGCATCCAGAGGCCTTTCCAACAAAATTTTAGGCAGAAGTGGAACACAAGGGGGAAGCTCAGCACCAAAAATGTGAACCGAGGTTTTGTTTCTTGCAAACTCTAGGAGTCATTTTTATTTTTCTTAAATCAGCTAGGGTAGCCCCCATCCATGAAAAGCTGTTATGGGGTAGGTTTTATTTGCATTTTTATTTTCAATTAGGCTCAGTTCATCTGTGATATAACTGTGAGCAGCTGTGACTGTGCAGCGGCCATAAAGATAAAAGGCCTGATTTTAATTTGAATTCTGGTAAAGCACCCATTAAACAGGCAAAATGTTAATTAAAAAAAAAAAAGAGAGAGAGAATATAACAGACTTTTATGGGCGCTCTTTTTCTGTAGTAAATTAACATTGCAGACTTTCAAACAGATGTCTTAAATACACATTGTTATTAACATGAAAATGTGGTATTACATAAATTAAAATCAGGTCCAGAGGTGTTCGAGGAGACCTTTTCTCATAACATTTCCTAATTGAAAAGGCCAAGCTCTGAGCGCCGGGGAGAGTTCTCCCCCATGTTGGGGCTGCAGCTGATGCAGGGCTCAGCAGTACTTTTATTTACCTAATGGTGCCTGTGTGAGAAAGTGAGCGCTTTGATTATTTACAGTATTTTCCAGCGAGGTGAGGGAGAGAGGGCTATTGTTTACAGTGTATTTAGCACCCTGCCTTGTGACTTGCTGCTAACTTTTCCTTCATGCCTTTACTCTAACTGCATAAAAAAAGCACAATGAGAATTTATCAGCCTAGGTATGAAATGTATTTGTATTTGGGAGTGAGACGTTTTGTGAGATTAATTTGCCAGGAGGCAGCAGAATTGTAGAATCGGAGTAAGACATAAGAGTATATATAAAGTGGATTAATTTTCAATTTCACATTCTTTGAAGGCTCTTTGCTGGCACACGCTGACAGCCAAGCTGCGCAGTGGAGAGCTGCAGGAGATAGTGTGGATCCAGGATGCTGACAGTAACTTTCCTGAGCAAATCCCAAGATCTTTTCTGTTGGGCTGTCAACCCCTGGTTTTAAACCAGTAATGATTTCCATTCTGGGAACTTCTTTAGGACAGCTGAGCTACAGTTTGGGCGGACCATGCGGTAGACGAAACTTGAGGACTGCAAGGCTTTCCAAAATGTCTTGTTTTAATGTTAACAGATGTAGGTGTCTAAGCAGCTTCCTGATCCCAGAGAACAGGGAGACTACTAGGGAGTGTTCACCCTCTTCCAAACACTTCTGTACCTCCAGATTGCAGGTCAGACCAGTACGGCCCCGACTGCTCCCTGCAATGCCAGTGTGCCAGCAAATCCCAGTGCAATCCATACAACGGGAACTGTGTATGCCCAGCCATGTGGATGGGGCCAACCTGCAAAGAAGGTAATGCAAGCTGGAGATGTGCAGACTTTCTTAGTAGAAGAAATCATACGTTGACCATGGTGGTGGTCAGTGGGCTGTTTGGACAGGAGTATCAACCCACCACGCAAACATGGTGCTCAGCAGCAGCCACCACAGTTTCTGTGTCAGGCTGTGTGAGGCAGAAGCCGTTCTGCATTTCCACCTCTGGTGAAAAACTCAGAACTCACGATGGCAGCAGCTTCGCTTGGAAGGGTTGTGTTGGTGTGTGCTGCCCTCCTAAGGGTTCAGGAGCCTGATGCTGCAAATGCCAGGGGACACTGCAAATGCCAGGAGTCATTCCAGGTGGTTGTGAGGTCTTGGCCAAGCTGAAATGACTCAGTGCAGCGGTTTTCCCTCAGAGCAGGCTGTGGAGATCTTGCACAGCGTGTTCAAGGATTCCCGAGGCTGCCTCCAGCACAGCTGTGCCGGAGAGCGGTACACTCTTCTATGACTGCCAGTATGAAATCTTGCCCTGAAATAGTTGATATCCACAGCCTCTGTAAGACGAATAAGGAGGTTTACTTGCTGTGCATGCCATTACATTCGCTTACTTTCTGCAGAGGTGTCAGGTTTTGAAGAGCATGGTGAGATGTGATAAGCCAGATAAGTAGACAAAATATTGGAAAATAGATTTGGATTGATTTGTGAGTGTGCTAAAGCACTCATCGCACTATCACAAAAGGGTTTGGGGTTTTTGTTTTTTTTTAATTTAGATAATTTCTCTTCTTAATGAGATATAGTACTGAGTGAAAGTTTCCTCCCACTTGTAGTCTAATCACAACTGGCTTGATGGTGATACCGTACAATTCTGCATTTAGTTTAGGAAACACTTCGGGAACCTTCCTTTTGAGAGATGTTTTATTGTTTTACCTGCTCTCTGCCTCTGTGAGGAGGCCAGTGTAACTCAGTCCTCTACCTTCTTTTGAAGAGTACCATTTATTGAATTATTTAAGTGTAAATTGTATAATCTATATAATATTTCGGTATTATGTTATATAGACCTGAAACCGTGTTTCTACTTAATTCTCTAGGCGGCCCTCCAAAGCTTCCTTTTTATGAAGAACAAACTCAAGAAAGAGGGAATATTTTTCCAAGAGCTCTACAACAGTAACATTTGGACTAATAAATGAACTGTTTTATATGCACAGACGGTATTTGAATTTGGATATGAAAACAGCTATTCAATTCAGCTTGAATTGTACTGAAGTATTCACACTTCTCATGGAAGACTACAGAGGCCATTTAGTAGCTGGATCCTTTTAAAAAGTTGAATCTGTTTCATGTATTTATTCCTAGCCTCTTACCCCTCCATTAATCTGCTCTGGACATTCTTTCTGATACATAATATAATTCATTGTTTGAAAGCTTGGACATGTTTTTAATAAGACCAGCTCCAAAGAGTATCAGGATAAGCAGTATGTAACATATCAACGTGCAGCGAGCCACACCACATATAAGTCACTTTCTAAACCCACTTGACAACCAGAGTGAAGTTTAATGAGCATTTCATGGATTATGAAGCCAATATGGATTCACTGCAAAATCACATTGCACAGAAACTAGTGGGATTCACCAAATTAATTGCTCTTTGAATAATATTGTGTGTTCTAGAAAAGCGTTCAGTCTAATTTTAAACTTGCAACTGAAGAAGAATCCACCACAGTCCTCAAATAAGTTGTTAATTAATTTAAGAATATGTACCGCATTTGTAGTGTGAGTTGACTGATTGGAAGGTCTCCATCGATATCTCGCTTATGTCTGAATCCGTCTTCCAAAGAGCATGGTGTCGTCTGTCAGGCTCTTCTGGCTTTCTGCATTCTCCCATTTTGTCAGTTGAGTTTCTCAGTGGTTTGTCAAGTCAAACTGTGCAGCAGTTCTCATCAAACAGTACCTTCTGACACAGAAAAGAGTTTTATCTTGGAGGGAGGAAGCAGGTAGTAAGCAAGGATAGATGTTTAAAGATAATCTGTGTTCTTTATGTAAGGATTATAATGTGCTTTTACTGCACAATAGATTGATTAAGTCAGCTTTAAAAAGTCCTGATAACATTCAACAGCTGCTGTTGGTCACTTAATAGAACAGAGACATTTTAGTGCTGTTTTGTCTGTTTAGACAGGTTGTTCTTTAATATAGGACTGTCATTATAAAGAAATAATGTTCTCTATTTTAATATTCTGAGTTAACCAGACTAAAAGATTTCCGAGTGCCTCTTTGTGCCTCTCTTTAGGTTAGGAGTTACAAAATCTGTGTAGTAACCTCTTGAGTCTGACTATATCAAAAGTGCACTTATTGAAGGGCGTCAGGACCATGGGCTCAGTAGACGTGGTAGTACAGGCAGTTCCAGGTCTTGTGTTCACACTACCATTCACACACCGTAACAAATTGCAACTCTGCAAGAGAAGGTTTTTCTCTTAGAAGAGACAAAGCGACAATAATTGATGCTAACTTGCGATTTTTAAAGATGTTTGTTGTTGCAGTTGGATAATGGGTAGGTGAAGTAACAGTTTTACCCCGTGGCTTACCTCAGGTCTTAAACGCATCTGCAGTCATTAACTGTCCAAACGACACTTGCTCACCTGGGACTTTAATTCAAACTGTGATCTATTGGAAGCAATACAGGTTTGGTAGGTATTTTTCAAGCTTCATGGAAGTCGTCTTGTTGTTATTCATCACTTCACAGGTATTGAAAGTCATCCTAAACACAGTAAAGTTATTTGTGAATGTGTCAAAATTAATTAACTAATTAATTAAGCTTCTGCTTAAGCTTTCTGCTTTAAGCCAGAAAATCACAGGGGCTGATGCTGATCCCTTGTCATTTCTTCTTTAGAGCTCTATGAATGTCTCTGGAAAGTTTATTTGATGTAAATGTGACAAAATTGTTGTTGTCCCAAAACTAGTCAGAAGTGTGTGGGTCTCAGCAGGGCTTTACTGTCAGCTGTGACATTTTAAATGTTCTTTTGGAGATGTGCTGGCCTGGGTCTGATCCTGCAATTATGTGAATTTGGGGCAATTTCACTGAACTGGAACTGATAAGCTAAATCTCGTGTGAGACAATTAGATATAATCTTAGCAACTGCTGGAGAAGAACGACCCAAGTTAAGCAATTGACATATTTGGATCTTAACTGTGTATTTACTGCAGAGCTGAACTACAATAGTAATGCAGGCATTGCATTATATTCAAGATTTTTCGTAGAATCATAGAGTAAGTTAAGTTGGAAGAGACCTCTGGAGGTTCAGGCTTCTCTTCAAAGCCCGGTCAACTTCAAAGTAAATGCTCGGAGATTCATCCAGTTGAGCTCCGAATATCTCCAAGGATGGAGATCCCACAACCTCTTTGAGCCCCTGTCCCAGTGAAAATTTCATGCTCATGATTTTTTTTTTCCTAGTTTCTAATCAGAATTTCCTAAGTTTCAACTTTGGTCCGCTGCTTCTCATCCTTTCAGTGTGCATCTCTGAGAAGTGTTTGGCTTCATCTTGGCTACAGCCTCCATGGGGTAGTTGAAGACAGCAATAATACCTCCCTTTTGTCTTCTCTGCTGAAGACTGAGCAGACCCTGCTCCCTCAGACCCAACTGTATCAGCCCCGATTATCTTGGTGCCCCTCCACTGGCCCCATTCCAGTAAGTCGGACATTTCAGTTTAGG